CCCTTGCCAATCTTACCTCTGGGGGCAGACTCTGGCAAAGTGACCTGGCTGTTGGCAGAGATAGCATTTCCGGGCGCCTTTTCCTCCTTCTTTGCCCCCTCACTGGGCTTTGAAACCACGCGCGCGCGCTGTTCCGATTTCCATCGGCTCTGCCGGTGGGAAAGTTGGCTCTGGAATGTCTGGAATGCGGAACTCCTTCCAACGTTCCCCTTCCCTTCCCGCCTCTCCAATGCTCTCGCCTCCTGGCGCGCCTCCTATGGCCAGCGCTGATTTGGTCAGCTGGTCCATAGACTCCGCCCTGGGCGCCCGGGAAAGTTCGTCTTTCACAGCCGAAGAAAGCCCTTCTTCAAAGAGCATTTGAATGGGTTCCGCCGATAAGTCCCACCCCAATCTGTGAACAAGCATGGTGAACTCAGTCCAGTACTCACGGACAGATCGGCTTCCCTGTTTGCAACCCATTAACTGTCTGCGCACCACTCCCTTTTCAATATCGCTGGAAAACATCAGATCCATGGCGCGAAAGAACTTCATCGTGTCCTTTAAGACGTCACTATTAGCTGCCATCAGGGGTCTAACCCAGTCTCTCGACCCCTTTTCAAGATGCTCAATCACGAAAGCCACTCGTGATTCCTCGTCAGGGAATTCATCAAACTGCAGATTGAGGGCATATTGCATTTCTGTCCGAAAACCATGATAGTTTTTGGGCTCCCTCAAACTTCTGCACCAATCCTGGTACCTTTCTGGCGAACTGGGTGGCTTTCCCTTTTGTCTGCATCCTGAGCCCTCCTCTCCTCAAGCCTCGCCGTCTGCATCGCTAGCTGGACCTCCAACATCTGGTACCTTTCTTCCAGGCTTGGACCCGCTCCAGCTCCTGCTTCTCCGGTTCCGGCTGGGTTGCTCATGATGCCTTCTCCTGCACAAGCTGCTTTCAAAGACTGTCGGAATGCTGTGATGGGATGATGAGCTGCTTGTGCGTAAAATCGTATCCCCTCAGAGTTTGTTCAAGTCCACAAACCTCTGTCTGTGACGGAGCCCCTCAGACATGGCTACTCTAGTCACTAGCAGATTCCGACAGTGGTTGCTTTCGTAATCGCTTCCAACATAAAAGCTCCTTAACGGAAACACGTCTTCTGGAATCTCTGCGTGACAGTTTCCGGCGAGGAGTGGGTGTTCTTACAGGAGGTCCTGAAACCTCCCCACTGTTTTCGCTGGAAGTGTCTCTGAGCCATCCCTCCAGCTCAGCTCCTCTCCCCTGCTGGTTCCTCTTCAGCTGCTGCGTCTCTCCCAACCTGTGTGAGCCCTTTCACCTCCCTGCTGGTTTCCTCTTCAGCTGCTGCGTCTCTCCCAACCTGTGTGAGCCCTTTCACCTCCCTGCTGGTTCCCTCTTCAGCTGCTGCGTCTCTCCCAACCTGTGTGAGCCCTTTCCCTTCCTTCCGTCCGATGGCAGTTCCCTGACAGGTATGTATCCTGAATCAAATAGCCCAACTGCTGGCTGATTACTTCATCAGGGGCAATCCTGGGTTAAGGATCCCCCCCCCATGAGGCAAATTAAATAGAACAATCCCGCCAGGTTGCAATTTGGGGAGTTTTGTGGACCATTATTCTCTGTCTGGGCCTTCAGACAGAAACCTTCCCCTGGACCCCTTTACCACGGTACCCTGAAATTTGAACCAGGTAATGACAATGTTTTTTTCGGCCAAAAGTTGTGAAAGTTGCTATGAGGAAGGAATAGCCCCCAGACAGGCCCAATTTGTCTGCAGGCAAATTCCTCCCTGGCCCTGAATACTGCAACCAATTAATTCCACAGCAAGGCCATACACACATACTTTTGGGCAGAGCCACAACATACAGGGTGGGCAAGTGAGACGTCCAGTGCCAACTGCACTACTTGCTCCCAGCACAGCCAGTTTATATGCTGTGAAGGTGGATCTGAGTAAAGACTAGCTTCACCTGGTCCATCCCCAGAGCCTCATCTCTCAGAAAGGCCATGATTGGCCAATTCAAATTTTAGTAGGAAATCCCATCAACCCCCACAACCAGTTGAGGGCAATTGACAGCATCACAATTGCCACTGCCATCAAAAATGGTAAGTGGTCTTTTTCTCACTTTACCTCTCTGTACCTTGGGTTACAAACGCTTCGGGTTACAAATGCTTCAGGTTACAGACTCCACTAACCCGGAAGTAGTACCTTGGGTTAAGAACTTTACTTCAGGATAAGAACAGAAATCGCATGGCGGTGGTGCGGGGGCAGAGGGAGGCCCCATTAGCTAAAGTGGTACCTCAGGTTAAAAACAGTTTCAGGTTAAGAACGGACCGCCAGAACGAATTAAGTTATTAACCAGAGGTACCACTGTATTTTTAGAAGTCTGTTTCTTAACAAGTCCAGTCTTACCATGATAGCTAACTGCTCTAAGGTAGAAAGGGCACTATCCTTGGAGACTCAATTAGATTCTCCTCAAGAGTGTCTCCAATAGACAACTTCAGCTCAGTATCCTCTCTTAACTAAAGTTTCATCCCACTAATAAAGTCCTGGTCAGACCTCTTAGAAAGTACAAAATGCCCTTGCTCAACTTCTGTTTGGGGCTTTAACCTGAGTCTACTGCTAGGGCTCAGAAGTGGAGATCTAATGATAGCCTTGAATACTCAAATAAAGTAAGATTCCTTTCTTCAGCAAAAAAAGATATGAAATGGACAGTAGGTTCTGCAAAAGTAAACAAGAATTCTGAGCCATAGACAAATAAAGTCTCAACAGCTTTTCTATATCCACATGTTCAGGATTTCACTGAAGCAAGCTGCTCAGACGGTAGATAGCTATCAACTTACTACTCCAAGTAAAAAAATATCCATTGATGGGGAAAACCACCAAGGTGATTTGAAGAGATTGGAATACTGATTCATAAAGCGTCTTCCCTTCTTTATCACTTTGGCCAGTAGCAGCCAATTAAGAGCATCCAGGTACTTGAAGGCCCAAAGGATCCTGTGGGTCCACCAAACCCAGAAATCTTCTTACATTGACTATAACTTGGTCGTGTCCATTTTATGTATAAAGATGCATGTATAATTTGTTGTTGTTTAGTCGTTTAGTCATGTCCGACTCTTCGTGACCCCATGGACCAGAGCATGCCAGGCACTCCTGTCTTCCACTGCCTCCCGCAGTTTGGTCAAAATCTATAATTTATATACATTTATATACACTCTTCATAAATTTCTTCTTCATAAATTTCTTCTGATAATGTTTTATTTCCTATTTATCAGCTGGTTGTTGGCAATTTGGGAAGTGCTGCGTAAGAGCTTTTGCAAGAATTGGCAATTGGCTGATCAAAAATGACTGCAAAACCACTTTCCTCCAAACCCCATCTTTTCCTGCTCCACACGATGTCAGGTGTAGGGCAAGTGGGTGTGGTTTGGCTGACGTCACTGGACAAATAGGGAGGACTGGCCAAATAACAAGCTGGAGATTCCACACTGCTGTTTTACAGGGTGTCTCTTTTTCACTGGCTGCTGCAGGGATCTGTGCAAAAGTGACGCTAGAGATGACTATAAATTGTAATGGCAATACCCTGATTTGATAATTCTATTATTCATTTTACTGCTTTTTAGCCTGTTTTATTGCTTGTTTATCCTCTACTCTGGTTTTATTTACTGTGCTTTATATACGTACTGTTTTCATGAGTTTTATTTGCAAACATGATTTGTTTTACCCTTTGAGCCTCTCCTAATTTTTGCATTGGCATTTGACCTCAAGCAATAAAAGTTTTATTTGAACTGAACTAAGCTGTCATTCTATACTCTGTGGCTACTTAGCATGCTCAGTCTTCATTGGGCTGCTATGATTTTTATTTGATTTTGATTTTTTTACTTCTGAAAAACTTGGGGTTCCCCTGAGCAAGCACACCTTATTTCTCAGTGATTATAATCCTACTACTGGGTACAATCCTATGTTTGTTATTTGAAGCAGTAAATGAAGACAATATTTCAAGATATATGTAGAGGAGAACATAGGCTCTGAGCCTGACTAATAAAATTGTGAGAAGAAATTGCAGAAGTCTAATGGCTGGCAACATTCCATTTTTAAGGGCTCCTGACTGAGGTGGGTTCTGACTGATAGGTGACTCTGACCAGCAGTACACAGCCAGGTAAGGTGTGTTTATTGCCTTTTGGAAGTTAGGAGATGGGACTGTCACAGTGTTAATGATTGCTGGAGTTACCCAACTTCCCTGCCAGAAAGAGATTTCCACAGCTTGTGGGCAGCTATGTGGTCTGCCCACCCCTAGGGAATGGAAGGTGAGTGAACTGTAGGTTTATAAAGTGACAACCACACTCCCCACTATGATTTCTCATTCCCATTATCATACTTTGCCTGATATGCCCACAAATTTGTCACGCTATGCCACTCATCCTCAAATCCCCTAAATTTTGTTCAGCCTTTTGCCAGTTTGGAGTGGTAGAAAGAAGGAGAGAAGAACATTGTGGAATTTGAGTCCCGATTTAGATATTCAGTTTTGTTACTATGACAACAGTAGCAACAAAGTCCATTCCAAAGCAGCTATTGAGGGCTCTCAGTGCATCGTTACATTCTTTAATTGCTACCAGCCATTGTCAGGACACGCCACCAATGACTGATTGTGTGTGCATCCCCTGAATAATGCTACTTGTGCACAATTCCCTCTTCATGGAAGAATTATGTGCACATTCTCCATGAGACCTAGTGAATGTGCACAGTAACCAGTTATTATGCAAATTGCATTCAAATTCTATTCATTTGAACACACACACATAAACACACATATTCTCTCTCTCTCTCTCTCTCTCTCTCTCTCTCTCTCACACACACACAAACAGTATTACAAAGACATTCATTTCCCTTCCTACCAATTATCAGTACTTGTCTGCTGGAATTCATTTTAACAACATAAGAAAAATCAAATCTTAGGAACTATATCATAGAATCATAGAATTGTAGAGTTGGAAGGGACCCTGAGGTTCATCTAATCCAACCCCCTGTAATACAGGAATGAGGATTGAACCTGCAAACTTTGTGTTATCAGCACCACACTCTAACCAACTGAGCTATCAGCAAGGCTTTATGTGATGCGAGTTGGGGGGAAGTAGACTGCATGATGCTTGGATCCTGGGTTAAAATCTAATGGAAGATTCCATCATTGAATTAGCCAGGCAAGGGTACTCATTTCCACCTAAGTACAGTCCTTTGTCTTCCCCTTTGTGCCAGAGGGGAAATGGGTAGGTGTACCTGGCTGGTAGTGAGAAAGACAATAGCCTGATCTGAGTTGTGTGGCAGCTGGGCTAGATGCAACAGAAGCCAGAGAAGGAGAGCCATGCTTGATTTCTGCTGGAATCCAAGGCTGTGGCTGTGGGAGAAGCAAGACCCTATTAGAGTGTCAATGCTGTGAGCTCCTCCATCTTAGGCTCAGGTTGTACATATGTGTGAATAAACCATATATCATAAAGACACCACAGTCTTCACTGTTCCTCATTCCAAGAAAAATGAATCCTCAGTAAGTGCCTGGAACCCCCGGAATCTCTCACCACTTGGAGATTGGAGTGGCATGCAACACTACATACAACTGTCAACACCTGCTTGTGTTTCTAGCTTTTCCAACTGAAGATGCACTGCCAGCCAGTCTGCAACCACTCTCATTTTCAAGTTCCAGGACAGGTTGCTCTTATGTACACCTTCTCACCAAGGGGGAACACTTTTCTTTTCTTTTTCAGAAGACAACACGATTTCAGTCTAACTTTCTGTAGTAGATCATATAGTCAAAAACCAGCTAAGCAGAAGCTGGAAGAGAGACCCATTTGAACAACATTTTGCCAAGGAGTCACAAGAATTGAGTGATATTTATTATGCATAAAGGTAAAGGTAAAGGGACCCCTGACCATTAGGTCCAGTCGTGGCCGACTCTGGGGTTGTGGCGCTCATCTCGCTTTATTAGCCTAGGAGCCGGCGTACAGCTTCCGGGTCATGTGGCCAGCATGACTAAGCCGCTTCTGGCAAACCAGAGCAGCGCACGGAAACACCGTTTACCTTCCCGCCGGAGCGGTACCTATTTATCTACTTGCACTTTGACGTGCTTTCGAACTGCTAGGTTGGCAGGAGCAGGGACTGAACAATGGGAGCTCATCCCGTCACAGGGATTCGAACCACCGACCTTCTAATCGGCAGGTCCTAGGCTCTGTGGTTTAACCCACAGCGCCACCCGCATCCCTTTTATTTGTTATGCATAACTAGCAGCTATTCAGTAGCAGGCAGCTGACATCTTGGTACTCAGCATCGCAGCCTGTTCCCTGAAAACGTGTGTAAGACCACAGTCCTAAAATCTTCCGTTGGATCTGACAGATTTAACATTCAAAGTTCTTGAGTTCACAGTTACCCAAAACAAGCAGACTATTTTGTAGGGAGAACATAATAAAATGGATTTCCTGTGCCTGGTCTCAGTCTCCTCCCACTACAGTCTCTTTAACGTACACTACAGATGCTCGTGTGGGAAGTTGGAAGGAAGGTTCAAAGTGGCTTATTAAACTGAACAAGCTGCTCAGATTTTGTCTTTCAAACTAATGCTGTAGCTGCTTCTGTCCTAATCATACTAACCTGAGTCATGTGCAAATCTCAGTAAGCAGAACAGGCTGACATTATAAAGTGAGACTTGCTGGTGCTGACCAGCAATGTGCAGCCCGGCCTTGGCCACATTTAGTCAGAAGTGTCCTTGGCTTTGTTCAATGTGACTTACTTCTGAGTAAGCAGATTGCAACCACAGTTGTGCAAAAGGGAGTGGGAAACAAGGAATGGTGCTGGTTTCTTTGGCATTTAACTTGACCTCATTACACCTGATATTTTACTTGCCAAAAAAACCAAACCATTTTGTGCATTTTAACTTCAAGCTCACCCATGGAAAGCAAATTTCAATATATATGCATGAGTACTCACAAAAACTAAATGTATGCATGCAAGTGTTGAAGCCAAAATTATCTCCCTTTTTCATTCAACAAAGGAACAGAAGTCATACTTTATGACTAAATCAGCCCTAACTAAAAACCAGGGCTAAAGTTTGAATATTGTCAACATACCAAGTTGGTGTTGTTTTGTTAAAAAAATGGTATCAGTAGAAGTAAGCTAAGATAACTGTTGCGTGTGCCATAAACAGAAACAGAAGCACAATTTATTTACTGCATAGCCAGAATCCAAATCAAATGATACGGCAAGGCTTTTCAAATAACCCAGCCATAACCACCAAATAATGGTGCTGCGTGCCCCAGTGACAAAGCATGCTGTGACTCAAGCACAGGCTTTTAGTGTTGTGACACCAGCTCTCCAGAATTACCTTGCCCTAGAAGTGAAGCAAACCCACAACATTATGTTTTGCACATTTGTTGACAACAGTTCTTTTCTCCCAAACCTTCCCAAATTAGTCTGCTTGATTTCTGCAACTTTTAATTCCTTTTGGATTCTTTTTAAAGCACTGTTTTATTATTTGTATTATGTTTTATATTCTATTTTTTACTACCATTCAACGCAGAAAAGTTTATAATTTCTGCACTAGTCAATAAATGGATAAATATCAAAGGATAATTATATCTAACAGTACCATTCCAGCAAAATGTGCTTTAGGCTAACAAATAGTGTGGAAGAGAGAAAATTATTATTATTATTATTATTATTTATTTATTTATTTATTTATTTGTACCCCACCCATCTGGCTGGGTTTCCCCAGCCACTCTGGGCGGCTTCCAACAAAGATTAAAAATACATCAAAATGTCATGCATTTAAAACTTCCCTGAACAGGGCTGCCTTCAGATGTCTTCTAAATGTCAGGTAGTTGTTTATCTCTTTGACATCTGATGGGGGGCGTTCCACAGGACGGGCACCACTACCGAGAAGGCCCTCTGCCTGGTTCCCTGTATCTTTGCTTCTCGCAGTGAGGGAACCCCAGAAGGCCCTCAGCGCTGGACCTCAGTGTCTGGGCAGAACGATGGGGGTAGAGACGTTCCTTCAGGTGTACTGGGCCGAGGCTGTTTAGGGATTTAAAGGTCAACACCAACACTCTGAATTGTGCTCAGAAATGTACTGGGAGCCAATGTAGGTCTTTCAGAACTGGTGTTATATGGTCTAGGCGGCCGCCTCCAGTCACCAGTCTAGCTGCCACATTCTGGATTAGTTGTAGTTTCCGGGTCACCTTCAAAGGTAGCACCACATAGAGCGCATTGCAGTAGTCCAAGCGGGAGATAACTAGAGCATGCACCACTCTGGCGAGACAGTCCGCGGGCAGGTAGGGTCTCAGCCTGCGTACCAGGTGGAGTTTTTATCAACCCAATATTTTTCAGGTGCCACTGCCACTAGCCCCACAAAAATTGTGTTATTTAAACTTCCAAAAGAAGTTGCTGTAAGTTTGGGGTCTTATTTTAAATTTTCTAGGCAACTGTGGTACACAGTAAGAGGTCAGGAGGAAGAAAGGGACAAAGATGGAGAGAGCTGTAAATAATGTCATGAGCAGTTGCTGTAAACAAACTGACCGCTAAAAAATGGCAGGGGATCTAGTTGAGTTGAAGATGCCCCCTGCAGAGAAAGATGCTACAAACACTGCAGGGAGAAACTAAAAAGGAGGACTTTAAAAGGCAGAAGGGGAAGGCTTTGAAGCCCTTACTCCGAGCATCAAACAAGGGTAATGGCCTGGGTTTGGCTAGCTTGATTGCAAGGACCTTTAACAAAACAGCTTTAATGTTCCTTGAATGTTTATGGATGGTGCTGGGAAGGATCAATTCCTCTGTAGCTGTGGGGGTCTCAGACTTGGGCTCTACTACAGCATCTTGGCTGTGAAATCTGGAAGACCTGCTCTGTGCCTAGGAGGGCAGGGCCCGGATGGACTCCAGCTACAAAAGCTGAGGCTGCTGAAGAGGCTGGAGAAATCTTCGCCTTCTCTTAGTGCAGTCCCAGGTAATATTTTATTCTCTTGCTAATGATGCCGTTTTAAATGTGCATTTTATATTTGACTTCCTTGGTAGTGTCTTATTTTGAAATCTTTTAAAATAATGTTTTTGTTTCCTGTTAATTAGGTTGTTTGAATGTATGCTTGACTTTCTTCAGTAATGTTTTGTTCTGGATTGTTTTATTTGATGTTTTAATGTAGGTTGCAAACCTCTTTGATATTTTTTCCCCTAAATATAAATCAGTATAGAGATGAAATGATTGATGATAATAATAATAATGTTTGAGAGGAAAACAGCCGTTTGGAATTTAAGATGCCTGCTTCAGATTCTCTTAGGGAATCTGGTGCTGTCTACTTATAGGTATGTGTGCTAGCTTGCACTTAAGCTCTGCTTACATATTTGTAATTAAGGCAAACATTGCAAGGACACCAAAGTCTCCGGCCTATCTCAGCCAAAGTTAGAGGTAGGGATCAGATTGTATAAAGTCCTTTCTGTGTGAAACACATTCTCTAAGACAGTAGTGTTGATGTGCCCTTTGAAGTAGCTACTGAGATAATTCTGAAAGCATGCTGCAAATGCTACGTATTTGTACTGTTACATCCATGGCTCCACTGACTGCATTCCAAGTGGAAAGGAACAAAATCATCATCAGTCAGATGAATACAGTCCTCTTTCCCAAGAGCATCATTATACTTCTGACACTTTGTCTCCTCCTTCCCTTCCTTCCCCCTTTCAGACCCCTATTCCAAGGATTACTACCCTACCCTTTTCAAGAAGAGAGAAAAAATATATTGCTGCATGCAGAGGGAAAGGTTCTTGCCAGAATGTGATTTGCCTTATTTTCTGCAAGCAAAAGCATGGAGGGGAATTGTCCAAATTAAGTTGCTTGATTACAAAAATTAATCTTGTCACTTAGTGTCCCTGTTCCACAGAAAAGGGCCTTTGATTAGCCTCCTTGTTTCAGAATATTACAAGCAGAAGGCAATTTTCCAGACAAGGATAGGAGAAGGCGAGAGTGAAGGGGACAAGGCCAGACAGCTGATTCCAATGCCCAAGACATTCCACACACGTGATACAGGCCATCCTTCAGAATGAAAAGGTATCGGTAAACACAGCCAAGGAAAACGGAAGATACCT